ATTCCATGTGAATTGAAATTTGTTGAATCTTGGTTTTCTTCCTTCATTCTTCTTCATCATTGGACACTCACTCATGTAGTGTCCAAGTTGACCGCATTCATAGTAATTGTCACCTTGCTTTTTGTTGGCCTCATACTTTCCTTTGTTTCTTACATTGTTGAATTGATTAGAATCTGAATAGCTAGGTCCTCCTCTTCTAAACTTTCGTTTGTTGAGGAATCTCTTGAAACTTTTTGTGATAAGAGCAAGATCACTATCATCAATTTCCACATCATCTCCATCTAGGGAGGCAGAATCATCTTGATCTTAAGATGTCTTTAGAGCAATGCTCCTTCTTTCTTTCGCATCCTCTTCTTCTTGCACTTTGGACTTAAGCTTCAGCTTATAAAAGGTTAGAGAATTAATAAGCGATTCAATAGGCAAGGAATTTAGATCTCTAGCTTCTTCAATGGCAGTCACTTTACTCTCCCAATCCTTGGGCAATGCATTCAGAATTTTTCTATTTTTCTCACCTAGAGAGTATTCCTTTTCCAGCACCTCCAAATCCTTAATGAGGTCATTGAATCTACAATACATCTTATCAATGTTTTCATGAGGCTGCATCTTGAAGGATTTATACTTTGTAACTAGAATGGATTTCTTTTGTTCTCTAACATTCTCACTATCTTCATGAATTTCTCTCAATTTATCCCAAATTTCCTTGGCTGACTTGCAGCCTTTGACTCTAACCGATTCATTTGAATCTAAAGCACAATATAACACATTCATGGCTTTTGCATTTAAGGTGAGATGAGCTCTATCCACAGCAGTCAGTTCATTTCTAGTTTTTGGTCTAGATGTACGAGTATTTTCATCTATAAGAGAGGCATCATATGGACCTTCACTAATAATAAACCACAATTCAATATCAATAGATTGCAAAAAAATAATCATTCTTTCTTTCCAACTCACATAATTTGACCCATTAAACATAAGTGGTCTAATCACAGAATGTCCTTCAAAAAATATGGCATTATTGGTTGTCATTTTTATTCCAAAGCCGATTGAGCTTAATCTCTAGGAGAACAAGCTCTGATACCAATTGTAAGGAACGAAAACAACCAATCGAAAAGCCAATCGATAAGCAATTAAAAGATCACAATATAACAATAAATAAATAAAAAGGAAAGAATTGCAAACCAATTAACTACCCAGCTCCTCTTGAGCTTGTAGATTAATTCAAATAAGCTTCTTCAAATTGATAAATTACAATCACTCTTGCATACAAAGGAAGGTTCACCTCCTCCTTACCCCGAACACCCCTCGGTCAAGCCAAGAAGTTTTACTATCCCTCAGGACAACCCTCACAGAGCTACACTCATGAAGTATTCACTCACAAATGAAAAGATTACAATGAACCTCACACCACTAAGACTACAAATCTTCTTTAAAGAGTATTTTCTCACTAAAATCACTCTAGATCTTTTGTATCTTCAGTGTGCAAAAGTTGTTTGATGTATCTGACCAACCACTATTTATATAGGACCAAGAAAGTGCCTCAATAATGCTTCCAACGGATAGAAAGTAGCTGAAGAGTCAACTAGCCGTTGGAGTGTCGGACGTCCGATAGACCTGTTTTTTGCGTCCAACAGCAGGCAGTGAGTTTAAGAGATTTTCTTCAATTCTTTCAGATGTCCGGTAGGTTGGTTTTCTGCGTCCGAAGGTATGATGTAAAACTGGAAATTTTTCTTCAATTCTTTCGGACGTCCGGTAGGCTGATTTTCTGCGTCCGAAGTTGCGCAATGATTGTCGGACGTCCGATCATGACTTCTTGAGCGTCCGATAGCTTCAGCATACTTTGTCCCTTTCAAATGTGATTAATCTTTGAATCTGATTTGCTTCATAGCTGAAAGTATTTCTTGAAAAGATATTAGTATTATCCATTGTTTTGTAAACATCAAAAGATAGGGACCAAGGTCAATATATCTCATATACATCACATCAAAAAAGTGCTACAGTATTTTTTTACAAAATTATCTCAAATAATTTACTATCCAAACACAAAGAAAGCCAAATGGCTATAACTAGGCTGTTTAAATATGGCTGATTGTCCTTTGTGCAACTAATAATTTTTGATGATTGAGATGTGTAACGAAAAAAATAATATCAGGGCTAGTGATGAGAGAGTACAATATGATTTCAAAATGAATTGGCCATGATGGAATTTAATCGGATATTTTTTTATCCTTGTTTAATCACTTAATGAGTAATTTGACTAAAACTTTTATCAATTCAAGTACTTTTTGATAAGTCACTGCAACTTCAAACGAGTATTTAAAGCTGTCTAGTTCTATTTCAGGGGACAAAATGGCTGTTGTATAATGTTGCATGGCATTCTCTATAATTGTTTTGTTATACTAATGGTGTCATGCAGTTAATGGCCCAAATAGATTCCATTTGAATTAAAGTGTATGAAATTAATTATGAGATATGAATTTCAATGAATAATAAAACTTATTGTGTTCGTGTAAGACATCATCTTATTGTTAAAATTTATTGTCTTACTTGGCATGTCTAGTAATTTGAACCAATTACTTGACATGCCTAGTAATTGATCCAAAATCAATAAGAGAGCTGCATGTAGATATATAAGGTCTCATTTGCTAATTCACATACTAAATCAGTCTATACATATACATATATTTATATTTATATATATATATATATATATATATATATATGGAACTCTTCCATTTCCATTGATCTTGAATCCAAGGATAGAACCAGAATTTTGGTTTAATAGAAAATGGTGGATAAAATATAACAACTATACCTCAAATTTTGCAACAAATAACTACCATTCTAATGTTTTTAATAAGAGACAAAATATAAATTTTCCTTTCAAGGCAAAATGTTTTTTTTTTTTTGGCCTCGGCTCGAATGAAGATCCAAGTCTTACACAAGGGAACCGGAAAAGGAAGGATTTAGAATCAAACCAAAAATCTCACTGTCATGTAACAATATCTCTATCAATTAAATCACAAATAAAAAAAATAAAGGATTTGACTAATCGATGTCTAGTGGCGACTCCTTAAGTCGGGGTTCGAGTGTTACCTTTATTTGCAAGAGTACTGTTAATTTGAAAAATTGTCGAAATGAGCGGGGAGGGGAAAGTATGGGGTACTATAAGTGTGAGCATGGTAAATAAAACATAAAGGATTTGGGATTGGGGTGTTACTTTTGTTCGCAATAGTATTATTAATGTTAAAAAAAATTATCTAAATGTGGGAGAGGGATGGAAGAGGGGGGAATAAAACTGCAATAAATGTGAACATGCAGATTTACCTAATAATTTTGGCATAAATTAGGTACAACGGGCACCTAGTGCTCAAATAGATTATTTTCTTCTATATATTACTTTTTTGGTTTCAATATGTGGCACTTGTTAAAGAACCACCAACGAACAATTCTATAAAAACCTTATTAATGATATACAAATCAAGGGCCAAAAGTCTCAATGACTATTAAACTGTACTTTGCATCTATTTTTGAACATCAAACTATTTTTTGTCTCAATTCAATCACTCAACTAACTAATTAGTACTATTTTGATTGTTTACTTTTAGCCACTTAATTATTTTTTATTCAAAATGGCGACTCAATTTACAAATGTATATATTGGTGGTTATTCCATCCAAATTTGGTGTTAATCCTAACAGAATAAGTTGTATGTGCACTATATTGGCCAAAAACCATGGATAAATTCATCCAAATAGATGAAATAAAAATCTTAAATAATCATTAAACTATACAAACAATATAATTTTAGTGATTTTTCATTCAAATTGGCCACTCAACTCACCAAAATAGTATATTAGCAAGCTTTTATTCAAAATTTGTTATTAGATCTACTGTTTTCATTTTATTTGCAGGGTTCTTGCAATAATGCACAAGAACTAGAGCATATAATTTAGTTTTTTTTTGTCAAAAATTATAAATTAGAATGCATGAAAGCAACTATTATAGATTCCAAATTTTATGTTTTGCTAATAAAAAAATATGAAACTTTAGATGGAAAAAATGTAAAAAAATTGACCTTCTGGAATTGTCATTACTTTTTGGTACGTGAAATGCACATGGAACTCATTCCGTTATCATAACAAAAACATTTTACAGAATGACAGCTAATATATCGATTTAAGTGTTCAGTGACTATAATGAAACAAAAAAATATTTGAGTGGCTAAAAATGTACGAGTGGAATAGTTTAGTGGCCGTCAGAGTTTGTAGGTTCAGATTTAGAAGTTTAGTGGATATATTTACCCATAGATTATGATACATGATTTGCACGTGGTTGGTTTATTTTGTAGATTAAGAGCAAAATCTGACAAAATGGCCACAAGCATACTGATTAATTAGTAGCATGGCTGAATTTTATGAAAATAGTTTGATGGTCAAAAGTAAATGTGGAGAATAGTTTAATGACTGTTGAGATCTTTTACCCTACAAATCAATATGGAATCTAATCAAATTTTAATGAGATTTTATATCTATTTTATCTTTTGTTTCCTTTTTGTTCTATTTCCTTATTTTATTAATTGCAATCCTTGCATGCGTTATGTTGTTTTAGGTAATTACTATGGGTTATGGAGGGAGGGAGGGAGGGGGGAGCTACCACACATAACAATTAAAATACCACACATAACAATTAAAATATGTTTGAGGGGGTAAAGAGTAAATTAATGAAAACTTCAATCTTTGGGGTGGCTGCTCCTCCCCAGCCTCCCTAATTTCGTCCTTGCCTGGACCAACTATTAGCATATTAAGTAGTTATTCCGACCAATATAAAATCTTTGTTCAAATTCCCGTGAAATCCCTCGCATTCCAGAGCTCAATTTTGTTAACAGGGTCATTGTAGAAGTGCCAAGATTCAATGGTTTATAACACTAATAACAAGAGTAATTTGTTAGATTTCTGACATGCAATTCCACTGGCTATGCCTATCATTTTGTCCTGGCTCCTTGCATCAAAAATCAGTAATCAGTAAACTCTTGCACGATAATCATAAACACTGGCTATCAGTAATCAGTAATCAGTAAACTCTGGCTATCATTTTCCATAGCATTGTATACATGACACTCCATTCTCACTTTTATCTAGCCGGATAATCATAAACACTGAAATATATAAAACTAAAGATGTATCCAGCAAGAAGTGGCTCTTGAATCTCAATAATCATCTACTTCTTGCTAGTACCACTCCCATGATCCATCACATATGCCCTCAAGGATGGGGATTGAGTGAGGCCATAAGGTGCAACAGTTGTATTCTGATTTCCATTCTTCTGCAGCATTCTTCTCCTTGCCACGTAACCGCGGATCCAAGGGGTAACATCCTCGTTAATCTTTATCATGATGAAGAAGATAATGCGGTAGATAATAATCATACTGAAGATAACACTGAGATCCACCCATTTTGACCTGTTTGTGTCAATCTGGAAGACATATTCCAGAATGTATTCTCCAGAAATTTTGGGCATGTCCGGGGTCTGGTTGTCAAATATCAGGCCCTTCAAATCATTCTGGTATTGACCCTGAGATATTTGATGTTGTTTCCAATTGTAAGATACCATTAATTATAAATTTTATCAGGATGACACAGTTGCAGATGAGTTTACCTGTAGTGCCCAGAAGTGAAAACTGATGTAAGTCATTGGATAGCGCCACACTGGCTTGGGGATGTCATTTGGGAGTCTGAAGTAGCCAGATACTAGCATAAATATCCCCTAACACACGAAGGAAACCACAAAATTCAGTTTGACTGACACGAGAAAATTAACAAAGAAAATAAGAAGCTTAAATTCCAAGATACTGATTCTTGACTAATCTTAGTAGAATAAAATCATCAACGCTAAAAGAGATGAGGTATCAATAGAACCGGAAAGCAAGTTTTCCCTGAAGGGAAAAATCAATTAAGGGCAGACACATGATTGCTTGGAATGAATATCCTAACCTTGTTACCAATCAACAGAATAGGATGAAAAGTGATATTCTGAACTCATCCGGGAAATATAAAGCGTGTAAATGTATATTGAAATGCGCACCTGAATACCAGCACCAGTGATGATACCCATGAGGAAGTTAGGGACAATGCTTGCTATAGCCATCATCAGGCTCTCAACAACAGTGACACTTGCATAAAGGCACAACACGAAGAACAGGTAATGTGAGAATCCAGGATGAAGACGGACCATGAAGTAGCAGATAGTCCCAGAAATGAAAGTGATCAATATCAGAAATGGCATGGCAGATAGTGTGTTGCTGATGACAAATGCAGTTACACCATAATGTCCATTTAACCTTTCTCTTTGGAAGACCTGCATTAACAGATGAGTGCAGGTATGTTTTTAGTGCTTCAGTAATTTCCTTGAGGTTCCCTATGTGGACAATAAAAAAAAAATGGCAGGCCAATGATGGAACCGTTAGTGCAATTCCATTAAGGTTAAGAGACAAACCTTCATATCTTCTACAAATGAAGGAAAACCACCAATTGACATGAATGTCACGAAGCCAAAGACAAAAGAAGCACAAGCACCCCTTGCCTGTTTAGAGGAAAGGATCACATTAAGATGGAACTGCCATTGGTACCAGTAATTCAGTAGTTTACAGTCCAGAATTTGATGGCTTTCCTTCACTTGTGTTTCTTACAAGTGTCACGCCGTGCTTTGATGATATATTAGCAAAATTACAATTTATAGACATTCCGATAAAAAGTGTCTAATCATGTCAGTTTTCCAAAAGGAATGCATCAAAGAAACTAGCCTGACTGCCTCCTGAATCCAATACAGTTCCTTTCTGTTAACACGACATCAACTGTTAACCACATAGCCATTATGATGAATCATTCAAGAAAATGTCAAAGATAAAAAATGAAAACAGATCAATACTTACTATTTTGGACATTTCCTCAACTTTTTCTTTTGCAATGTAGCAATATTGAGATCTACGATAGCAATCAATGAGGGTCCTTATTGCTTCAGCAGTTGTTATTTTCTCGAGAGGATCATCATTGCTTTCAAACTGAATAAACATCACCAAGTTAGTCAAGTTGAAACTAAGTGCAGAATACTAGCAACTTTATTAGTCTAAAATAAAGTTTCAAGTGTTTAAGGGTAAGATCCAAGTCTGTCCTACATATTCAATCTTTTATTCCATTTCCTTTTTCTCCTTTGGATTCTCTCCAAATTAATGAAAATCCTCAGGTGACTTTTTATTTTTCCCAATGTGTAGATTGAAGTTCAAATGATTGAACAACCATCACAACTAGGCTAGTTTTTTGAGTGACAATTCATTAGACAGTTTTAGCCAAAAAAAAAAAATTATCGCAGGTTGCTTCTTCCTGCTGTTATTAGCCAAGCTATGTAAGTTTTTTGCTGTCGTCCCACATAATTTTTTATTCAATACTGTTTAGGAGTTATTATAAATTATCTGGTTCCTTCCCATGAGGAGCGGAAGCAAAAAGGAGAAATGACTCCTTGGTATGAAAATTGATGTTCTTGGAAAGCTAGGTTAGGGCCATGAAGAAGGAAGAATGGGGAACAAAATGGCACAGCTCATGTCTGTATATTACAAAATGCTGTAGTTCTATACCAGACTTTGCTGATCCAAAGAGGGGAAAAAATTTAATACCTGATCAAATCATTTACTGACCAAATTAATTACTTCAGCTAGTTGATCACGCATCACAAACTTTACCTAATTGTGCGACATGACCAGACACACCAGCTCCATTAAATAAATGACTGCAATAACTCCAGTGTTTGTTTTTGACCTAATTACTTCAGCTAATTGACACATAACAAACCTTGGGCCAATTGTACAACATCACCACACACATCAACTCTGTTAAATAACCATGACTGCAATAATTCTAATGTTTGTTTCCGACCAGAAGCATCACTTCCAGCAGAATATAGATATATGCTCCACATGCATAAAAGACTTGCGTGTTGAAAAAGAAGAGCAGCATATTTAGTACTATAGAATGCTTGTTTCAGTACGCAAGAACTTGGATGAGATGGAAAGAAATATGTTCAGTACCCTCATCTTCATGGATCCCTTGAGAGTTGCCTTAACTTTGTCAAAATCTGAATTTATGCATCTAAGGAAGTGGTCTGATGGATTTCTCAGAGTAGGACATGGAAAGCCAGCTTGCGCAAAAAACTGCAAAAAACCAAGCCTAATGTGATTTTAAGTTTTTCAGATATGTAAATAAGCTTCGAGAAAGTGAAAGGGTCGAGGGCTCTTGCCTCATAGGCTTCTGAAGTCTGCCCAAAGTAAACTGTCTTCCCTCCAGAAAGCAAGTACAATCTATCAAAAAGCTCAAAAACTTCGCTGCTTGGCTGGTGAATAGAGGCTATTACAGTCCTTCCATCTCTAGATAGACCGCGTAAGGTCTGAGTTACGAAGAAAGCTGAAGCACTGTGACAAATAATGCAATACAAGCAGCCCAAATTAATCAGAGGTAATGAGAGGAGCTGCACGACCACATCAACAACTACTTATTAAACTCTCAAAAGACGAATTATCTGTCCTGCAATTATTCAATTCTGCTCTCTTGGAGTTGTATACTAATGCAACTAAACTATGGATCGCAGGAATTTAAGAGAATCTATTGGTATTTAATTTACCTGTCAAGTCCACTTGTTGGCTCATCTAAGAAAAGCAATCTAGGCCTCATCAGGATCTCAAGGGCAATGCTTACCCTCCTCTTTTCTCCACCACTGATTCCACGCAAGTGCCAATTTCCAATAACTGTATCGGCACAATCTTGGAGGCCCATTTCGACTATGGTGCTCTCTATCAATGCTCGCTTCTCAGTCCACGGCATCTTATCTGGGAGCCGCAGCCTAGCAGAATAAGATATTGTTTCCCGAACAGTCAGAGTACCAATCAAGTTGTCATCTTGTGTCACATACGCCTGCGTTCAATTTAATTTATCAACGCACACAAAATCCAGCTGAATTCAACCAGTTAGGCTTATCATCCTAGTTGAAAATCAATTGAGCAATGAAACAGCAGCATATGGATCATCATAGTCATATTGAACAAAAACACGGAGAAAGAGAGTCATCCAACTAGCCATAATTCAGAAACACAGACAGGAAATGGGCAGCCTAACAAGTCACTAAAAAACAGCAAGTGTAAAATGCAACTAAGAGATCAAGCCTACTTGCAAAGTTTGGAAAAAACAAATACTCCCTCCCAGCTTACAATACCAATTGTCTAAAGATTATTTCCCTAGCTCCAAATATCTCTTAGATATCCTAGATATTTAGATATTTGGAGTTAGGAGAGGAAATAAATGCTAGAAAGATAACAAAGTAACTCACAGCTGTACCAAAAGAGAGCTTTGCTCTACGACCATTGAGTAGGATAGTTCCAGACAGGAAAGCATTGGCAGCAAGGCGACCAGAGAGGGCATCAAGCAGGGTAGATTTGCCAGAACCAGAAGGACCCATAAGGGCAGTGAAGCTACCTGGCTCAGCATAACCAGTAAGTCCTTCCAAAACATTTTGAGTCTCCCCATTCCCCAGTGTAACCATTACTGTCAGATCTTTCCAAGTCAATCTTGCAGAAACATCCCCAACAAATTCTGTATTGGTTTTCTCCTTCCACAGTGTCTCACTCAAAGGGCTCAAACCTCCCACCACAAGTCCATTCCCTTGTGGCTTGCTTGCCTCTATCTCCATCATCACATCATCTGCAGCAGAGCTCCTCATCTCTTCACTTTTCTCTCAAGTCTGAAGAACCCTATACTCAGATGGGATAATATAGCAAGAAAACACACAAAAATAGAAAGAAAAAAATGGGATTCTAATGAAAGATGAGAAAACCGTGAGTTTGACTGATGCAATGGAAAACAGGAAAAAAACCAACTCACGCAAAATGAATTGCCATCTACTCTTTGCTGTAAACTTTTCTAGTTTTCTTGGATGAATTGAAATGAGAAGAAGATAGATTGAAAATTTCCACTACAATTTGCTACCATTGCTAGGTGAATTTACGTGCAGCAGCTCATTAATGGGTACCGGTAGTAGTTGTTGAAGTACATTAAATACGAACCGACCCCAATAAAACTCGGCTCGATTTGCCCCAGTACCCCTTTTTGGCCCCTGCTTCGCCCATAACGTTATCAAAACAGTAGACGTGCATGAAAGATACATGATGAAGGCGGGCAGGAGAGGGTTTCTTTCTTTTTCTTCAATTATTAGGCCACTTACTAGCGATTAACCTCTACCTGAATTGATTTAATTAGGTGCTATAATGGTTCATTTGCTTTTTGATTTAAGATTGCGTGTTTCGTGGTACCATTAGTCAACTTTAGGATCCCAAGGAATTTAGGCGGCCTGCAATATTTTGTGTTTTTACCTTTACATTTGTGTTTACAATTGGTCCTTCATTTAAATTTAACTAATTCTAGCTTGCATGCCACAAAAAAAAAAAAAAAAAAAAAAAGGTCTTGCTTGGATTGTGATTTTTTGAAGAAAAATATTTGCATTTTTTGTGAATATTCTTTCTACAAATTTTTTAATCATATTTTTATCTCACATACATTACATTTTAATCTTTTTTTAAAAAACCCTTCAAAAAATATAATCTAAATAGGCTTCTAGTATTTCCATGAGAACAAGAAAAGAAACAAGTAAATCCATGAGAAGAAGTGTAATATTAAAATACGATGTAAAAATGTGTAACATCACAAGTGTAATGAGAAAATTTGTGACTAAGGTTGAAGTCTGAGATATTAGAGGTTTTCTTAAGTTTTATCCTCCCCTATTTAGAAAAGGTTAAAAAAAAACAAACAAAGTAAGATTCAACTAGTTAGTCTTTGGCATATGAAAATGTTGCAAATAAGATTGTAGAGCTCTTATTTGTTCAATTAGAATGTTTTCATTAGTCAAAAATTAATTATTATGCTTGGTAAGTATTTTGTCTTGACCGAAATAAAATTTCTAACCAAAACGGATCAATAGGCAAACTATAACGCAGTTGTAACATAAAAAAAATGTAGTAACAAATAAGATTAAAACGAGTTTAAGTGATCATTACTATAGTAGTATCTTTTTTGTTTCATTTTCTTTCTTTGTTGATTATAATGAAACGGTAATTAAGCAATTCCACAAAATAAAATGTCATTCATTTCATACTAGGCTTTATTTGAACATATTACCATCTGGGATAAAAAAATTAAGGTCCCCCCACCTCCAAAAAATAAAATAAAATAAAATAAATACTCATTCACATAGGTCCCCCACGATTTTAGACGCTGGCACTTGACAATAGACGCATACGACAACGCATGGTCAAATCAAAATGGTATTATTATTGTTTTATTGTAGCTAAAATGGTAAAACTGTAAAAGTACATTACAATGAGCTTTGCTGATGTTTTAATACCCCATTCAAATTTTTTAAATTAACCATTGAGCTTTGGTGGGTAGCATTTTTTATGATATGATATATGTGAAATAAGAAAGTAATAGAAAAAATAACAAGGTGATTGAAAGACGTATTTATGATGTAAAACAAAAATTTTTTTTTATAGAAAATGATCAATCCAAACAAATCTAGTTTCAAACTAGTAGTTTGGCATTATTTGTCCCAAATTTTTTCCTTTCTGAACACTTTTTCAAGTTGATTTCAGATAATGCAAATAATACCAATCCAAATGCATTTACTGTTAGTTAGTACAATACTTTACCTAATATTGTATAAGGAAAAATATTATCATAGCTGTGATAAATTTACCAGTTAATCAAGAATTTTTTGGGTGAAACTCCTTGCTCTCTATGCTGTTTCTTTAATTTCCACCTTTCCTTATACCTGCTCTATTAAACACCCCAATTTTGCCTCATCTTGTTCGCAGGGGTAAATTACACTTGACTCCCTCGAGGATTTTCATCATTCGAAAACCTCCCTTCTGTTTTTAAAATTTATATTGATTTACCAAAATATATGATAGCTTTTATACCATTTCCATTACCAGAAATTATATCTTCCCCCTTTCTGATTGTGCATCTGGAAAGATAACTCTCTAGCGGTATTAAAGGTACCTTTCGAAGAAAAAAGCGAACTTTGACGTTAACCTATGGATTTTGTTCAACGGTCTAAGCTAAAGTTTATAGGTCCTGTTTGGTTCTGATTATTTCTTTGTGTTGTTTGTTTTCACAATCAGTGATAGAATGTTAACAAATTGCGGGACAATAGAGGAATTGTTTATTTGATTCATTTTTGGGAAGAAAAAAAGCCATTATCTTTTTAAATACCTTATTTTTGAATTATAAATTAATGAAACAGATAGAATACAAACATTCTGCTCGAATATTTTTACATGCCTTTGAACATAACATAAAAAAACCTAAAGTAATATGAAAAAGTAGGATTTATCGGAACAAGATTATTTAATTAACAATTCAAGTTGAAAGGTTTATTGCCCACAGATTACATCTCTAATCGACAAAATCCTACAAGTGTATAAAGTCAATCATAGTAATAAAATCAACTGGAGTATTTCAGGAGTCGAATCCAGAAGGACGAGTTAATTCTCTCTACTTTAATTATTATAGAAAAATAATAAAATCCAAAAGATTTATTTTTAACTAACCAAAGAAGAAAATAGATAATTAAATTTAATAAATAAAGGTGAGCAAACAATTGGCAAATACTAGGGTTTTAGATTTTGATCTAGATCGAGTTAGAATCAATTATCCAGTTAATTCCTTATCAAGCCAAGATTGTATCATGCAAAGGTAGTTTAGATTATCTCTCGATACATCTAAATTGTGTCTAATTAAATCCCACATATCTCTCAAGATCATAAATATTCAATTAAATCCTTTAAGATCCTAAGTGATATAATTACGCCATATAAATTTTAACCAATTCTTATGATTAAATTATGTATATTTACCTATCTAGTGCATGATTGTATATCCCCTATTAGTTCAACACAAACTCTAAGAACATGTCTATGGTGGCCAAACACAAATATGTAGTAATTAAATTAAGACAGATAAATCAAGGCAAAAGTTAAGAATTTGACTTGGAAAAATAATCAAAACTTTTGCACAAAACCCTGACACTAGAAACAATTTTGTTCATAATAATTGTAAGAGTAAACATGAATTCAATATGAAAAATATAAGACTTAGAGTAAAAGAGCATGTGGAACTTTTCGGTTGACAAAACTCTCAATCCCACGCCTTGGTCTCCAAATTTGATTCTTAAATTTCGAAGAAAAATTCTAGAACTAATGTTTAGACATGTGTTTTCTAACCTAAAAACAACCTAATGTATGCCTATTTATAGCTTCCTAAAGTTGTGACCCAAGTATGGTAGGATTAGGTCTTGAAAAACGGCCAAAAATCGAGTTTGGCCATATTTTCTGATGAAGTCTAGCTGAAAGATCAAAGACCGACTCTAAGTCTAAGTTTGGCCCTGGACTTGTTTCAATGCACACGAACCATTAGAAATTGAGAAAGTTCGGCATGAAGTCCCATTCAATGTCTGGCATCAGACATGGGATCGTGGGCAAGTCTATAAGGATTCGTGGGTAGATCATCTTTGAAGGCAAATTATATACTATGAAGGAAGCCGAATCAGCCTTTGCACAAAATATGAAAGTTGTAACTCTTTGAATTAACTATGCAATATCCAAGAATCATGATATTTAGAGATATGAATCCTAAGATATACCCAAAATACTGAGAACTGATCAAAAGAACATCACAGTGAAACCATACTTTAGTCATTTGGATTTTTGGCTATGAAAACACTTGAACCGGACTTGATACATGCCACTCTCTTAACTTCAAAATGAACCAAGAATCATGTCAATCTGATTTTTGTAGTTCAAATTATCGCCAAAATATTAAAATATATCATTTCTACCAAACCCTTTCTTTTTTACTTCTTTTTCAATTACTTCTTGACGTCACGCTTTGGTTCATTTTCTTTCCAATTCCAATCGACCTCTTCATCTATTAGAACAATATAGAAACCAAAAACAAGTAGTTTCCATTCAAAATAAAGTTCAAATAACATAGTTACTAGTAACTTATACATAAAAATGCACTACATTTTACACCATATCAATCTCTCCTCTAATTTAAGCATGTATCATGCATACAATCTCTCCCTTTGTAAGTTCTCTTGGAAAAAAAAATCTACTTCGCAATTTGGAGAAGAAAGGTAACCTAGTTCATCATTCTTATTGGCACATTAAATCAACACTAAAAAATAGAAATATATCTATTGTTGTTTAGTAGTAGTATTTTAGTCAAGTCAAGTTTGTAGTAGTTTATTGCAGTTAAATTATAGTAGTTTTATTGTTTAGAAATTGATATTTTATTAGGTAATTTACTGTAGTTGTCAAGATTTATTTACCAAGTCATATATTTTATAAATAGAGAGTATTATTACTGTGTTGAAAAGAGAAGAGTGATTTCTTATGGCGTTATTGATATTATATTGTTAATTTATTCTTTTTCTCCCACTCACATTTTTATATGTGTAAATTATCTTCTCATATACATTGGTTTTATAGAATTTTTTATGGAATTTTTTGGGTTCTACAGTTCTTATCTTCAACAACCATTTCTGGATCTTCATCATTGGGTGAAAGATGTGTCATGATGAGCATGCTATCGTTTTTCAATTGTGTATAACGCAAGTAGTTAAAATGAATAGCTAGGCTGTTGGTAGCATCAAGACATTTAAATCTTGGTAGGGGTGGGAGGACAAGGGTTTAACCCTTGCCTCCCACCTTGCCACTTAATTGTGGCTTCCTCCGATTTTCCCGTCGGCTCCCCCTTCCCTTATATAGAATAAATTATACAAATATTGTCGTTGCGAAAAAAAAAGTAGTTAAAGTGAAAATGGGGTAAACAATAAAGCCTGAAGTTAATAAAGGAAAACTTGCAAAATCTTTACAGGAGGCCTAAAATGTGCAAAATCCTTGTGGAAAACATGATTGGACCAAGACCAAAGCAACGCCTAGGCTACCATTCATCTCTTGCATATCTCAACCTCCACGGCTCCACCAAGCCATCTCCACGGCTCCACCAAAAATGACTTGACATGTCACTTTTGGTCTATTGGGTCTAAACAATAAATGCGGCA